GGATGGCTCTCTGAGCCACACCAGTATTCTCTGGGAACACGGACCATTCCCCACCCTGCGAAGTGGCAGGTCCTTCCAGAGAAGGTAAGTGCTAAAATAGACGGAGGAAGGATGGAAGGAGGCAGGAAGAAGTGCTGCAGAATGGATGTATTTTATAAAATCTTCTCCTCACTTCCTATCACTGGTTCTTCCTCAGAGTTCTCTTGGCTGAGTTAGATTTATCCCTGTTTCTTTAGAGGAAATGGCAGGTGCAGGGGGATTAGGTATCTACCTTGGGGTCATGAGCATGTCAGTGAGAGCCCAGGAGTTAGAAGATGCAGCAACTGATTCAAAATTATTTGCTTGAGGCCGTGACTACAAAACTTTTCACTTCTTAGAACTGCATAGTCCTACTAAATGTAGGGGTCGTATTTAAGGAGAATCAGTTAATTTAGGGCAAGACAATTTTCTTGATTTAAGTGATGCCACCTTGGCAGGCTTCACGGACATAAGGACGCAAGGTGTTTTAGCGAGGGTTGGTGATGGGTGCTGGTAAAGAATGCCTAAAGTTGCCATGGCCTGAGCACCAAAGGATCTCGGGTTCGATTCCTGGTCAAAGGCACGTACTTGAGTTGCGGTCCGCTCCTCACCTCCAGCCAGGGCCCGTGCAGAAGGCAACCAGTCGATGTGTCTCTCTCACATCGATGTTTCTCTCCCCGCACCCCCCACCTCTCTGAAAAACAATGGAAAAAATATCCTCAGGTGAAGATTAACAAAAAAAAAAGAATGCCTACAGTTCTCCCATCTAGTGGAGGAGATCCATGCAACTAAATGGTGCCCCACAGAATGCAGACAGTAGGCGCTGTAGCAGGAGCTCTGCACTGAGTGAGGAGCTGCTGCCAGCGCTGGCAGGCCCCGGGGAGGTAAACCAGCGTGCCCACATGTGGCAACACCTAACCTGTCCTCCCTGGCGAAGCCTGACTAACCCACACGTGATGTAATGAAACCCAATGGGGATTCAGAATGACCTCCTTATGCTCCATGTGGGTCAACAGAATTAACGTTTATGTCACTGTAATTTCTGCTTTGTTTTTCATACGAGCCCTTATAGAAATACAAAAGCAGAGGAAATTATTTCAGTCTCTTTTATGTTCTGTAAGAGACAGAAAATCAAAGTATCTAAAATAAAATTCAAGGGTAAGATGATGATTACAAGACTCACTAAAAATGGTAAATTACTATTACTTTTAAAACAAAGTGGTCCCACACACTTCTTTGTTGTTAACTTTTAAACCCATGGGAATTATGAGGAAAATTAAAAGTATATATGAGTTCTGACTCATTGACACGCATTACTCATCAATTTAAACGAATAACTGAATGCTCAAAAAATCTTCTCTTAGAGAGAGAGACAGTTTAACAGCCAGAATCTAGCTCACACAGACTTAAGTTTAACCAAATATGCTGAATCCATACGGCCTGAAGTAGCCCAACAGGGTAGAGGTAAATTCTTGGGCGTCCTGGAACACCACCTGATTTATCCTGGAATAACAATCATGCCAGAGCTATGAGCCCCATTCAACCCAAGTAATAAGATCACCTCTACCCATCTAGTTTCCCCACATCTAATTTTGGTGGGGTTTTTTGTGGCTTTCTGGCCTAACAATGATGGAAATTCCACAACGCTATCAATTTTCAGAAAGAAACAGTGAAAAGTTTCACTTACTGAGAAGACAGCGCTAAGAATGACAGACATTCCCAGGGCTCTGCCTTTAGTGACAGTGGCCTAACTCTGTTGTGTGTGTGTTTGTGTGTGTGAGCATGTATATCTGTGTATGCATGCGCGTGTGGGTGACAAACGAACAGAAAAAACAGAAATCTCAGTAAGTCAGAGAAGTTAAAGGACAAAGAAGCCCTAGTGTCACACAGCCAGACCAAACAGGATGTCTTGTTTTTCAGGAGCAATTTGGCTGCAAAAATATTTGAAAAAACAAACAAGTAAAAGCAGAAAACAAACACACAAAACTCTGAATTCCTCCAGTGACAATAATGCAACCCCATATGTGATAGAGAAAACAATCCATCACAGTCACCAAAGTCCTAAGGACTTAATTCAGTGAGATTTTTAACATACAGGAGCACAATAATCACCCTGTGTAATGTTCTTTCAACCTGCACAGTTCAGTGGAGGCTGCCCAGGCAGTCCACCAACGCCTTCATCAGCCTCCAACTAAAGAGCAGAGTTCAGTCTTTGAAGGAAAACTGCCCTGGACAGCAGGGAAATTTGGAAATCAGGACAGGAAAGGCCTTCCCCTTCCATTAACTAAGAGGGCGTTACAGAAGTCCTACTGACAGCTCATACTGTGAGTGCCTTGGGTGTTCTTGGACCTGAACTCCTAGCTTCCCCATGAACACCTAGCAAAAAAGCCAAACATATTCTTCTCTACCCTCCCTCTAGCTTTTCCACTGGCCAAGGTGGTTGTCAGAGGCTTCCCAACTGAGCCTCAGCTCCTTGCTATGCATTATCCAGAGAAATCACTGCTCTTTTGGCAGGCCTGCTGCTCTCTTAGCCAAATGCTAGAATCTCAAAAGATTCATTTGAAAAGGATGGCTCCTCTTGAGTGCACAATGTTTATAATTATGATTACTAGGCATTTGAAAAGTGCTCTAATAATAGAGTTTCAAAAGAATATATAGCTAATGGAACACATTAGTAACTATGAAGAGAGGTAGTAATTCATGTCTGCCATTCTGTACCCACATGCTACAATGAAAGTCTGACAGAGCACCGCCCACTGCTCGCCTTCTGGGCATGTCTGCACCTATTGTTATTATACCTGCTCACTCAGCTACCGGCCAAAGGGTGAGACGACTCAACGTGTTCAAACTTTAACTCATCATCTAATCCCAACCTGTTCCTTCTGCTGTGTATTTGGAAAGAGTGACCATATACCTAGTTGTTCTTGTCATATTCTTTTCTCTCTTTTACTGTCATTATTCAATTGGTCACCAAGTCCCACTAATTGTCACTTGCTTTTCTGTCCCTACTCTCCATCACTGCTTCTGTCTTAGTTCAGGACCTCTCTACTCCACTTGCCCAGATACTAAAATATCTGTTAACTAGGTTCCTTGCCTCCAGGTTAGTTCCTAAAGAATCTCTTTTATTATTGCTTCCTACCTAGCCTCTAAAATATAAGCCTTGCAAACAATAAAATCATAGATATCTTTGAAAAAAACATAGGTGCATATTTTTTATAATCTTAGAGCTGGAGAAAGCATTTCTAAGCATAACATAAAACCTAGAAGGTATAAATATAGTTACTAAAAAATCTTCTGTAAACTAAAGGACATTATCATCAAAGGTAAAAAAATAACAAAAACTGGGAGAAATAGCTGCAACATAGATGGCAGGGGACATGCTAATTTCCTTACTATATAAAGAGTTCTTACAACTCACTAAGAAAAATGCCTATCTGTAAATTTGAAATAACATATCGAGTCCATCTCTTGGCCATACCAAGAGAGGAAAAGCTAATGCAAATAGTTATAAAGTGTGTCAATGGCACAAAGGTCCTGTAAAGGCCAAGTATTAAAAAATTGGTTAGATATCACTGTTAGCAAGCCTACTTCAAATGCCCTGTCTAAGCTCAATTACATCACACGTCAACAATAAGATACCTGTAACAAGTGAAAAATGCCTCTGGACTCTCGTTTATGCCTCTGGAACACAGCAGAGCACGCTCGCACAGAACAAATCATTGCCAGGAAGCTGGAAGGGCCTCTTTGCCTGCATTATTAATGTTTTAGCTTCTGAACTCACACAACACCAAACCCTGCCATTCCATCAGCACAGCCTGGGCCACGAGGCTAGAACAAATGCCCATCAGATGGAACTAATTGGCCTTCCCATTTTGATCTGAACTAAGTGAGAAAATAATATCCCCTGACAAGAAGGCAGAGGATCAGCAGAGGGACATTGCTGACATAACCGTCACAAGGACACTGACTCCACAGGCAGCTGATCATCTGAAAGCCAGGTACTAAATGCAGGTAGCACAGGTGACTCATTTTTCAGATGAGGTGGCAAACCCTTAGGAAGAGAGAAATTCTGTTAGGAAAGTAAATAATTCAAGATGCTGATGGAGTTTTTATGTGAATCTGGAGCACAGGCCAGTTCACCTACTGCAGGATGACAAAGGATCTGATGCCAAGGCCCTGGATAGCATTTGTGTCCGTTAGCCAAAACAGAATTAAAAAAATGAAGCTGAGACCAATAACTGGAGTGCAATTATGAGTAAATTTGGGGGAAACAAAGGAGTTTAACCCAACCAAACAGTATTGGAAATTTGGAAATTTAGCCAATTATTTCCCAGCCTTGAAGATATAGCGCTGTACTGAAGGACCCAAGCATTAAATCACTCCATTATACAACAGATGGTCAGTGCCTGAATAAATGACGTTGTTCTTTGAATTGTCTTTAGTTCGGAAACACTTAACTTACCATGTTGTTGAGATTTATGACAGAGAAATGAATTCCATTTTCTAAGCAGCTTTTAAAAAAGAAAGTTGTATCTTTACATTTCTGACTTATACAATGAATTTGCAAAAATTCTAACCCTGACCAATGGTTTCTCAAAACCCATTTGATCCTACATTTGCCTCTGGTGAAATTAATATAATATTCTCCCAACAAATCTTGAGGCATAGGAAGCCACTGTTCATTTTATTCTTGGCAGAAAGAACGGGCTCAATGGTTTTCGGCAAAAAGAATCACAGATAGAGATATATGATGGAATCGTTTAGGTGGCCCGGGTCAGAAGGTCAGAATAAACATTATTGAAATAATACCTAACAACTCTGGCTTTGTCTCTGGCAGACCTGGGAGGCCCAATAGCTTATATGCTAAATTAAAAACCAACAAGCACACAGCACAAAACCTACTTAAACTTAACATGATTCTTTTCTAAGGCCCCCGGTTTTTAAAAATACTGACTTTGGGATGGATACATATGGAAACTCACTCTGGGAAGCATACAAGCCTTCCACGGCTCTGTCCTCGTGCCCGTCATACTCCCTGCTGGACAGCTGCCTGTTGGCCGTCTCCAGTCGATCTGCGCACAGAGAGAAAATGATTAGGAAGAAGTGCATGTGGGTCTAAGTCATCATCAACCGAGAAATGACATGGGAGCCAAGAGCTGGGTATGAAAAGATGCTCGGGCAGCAGCCCAAACTGAACGACTTTGGGGAGGAACAATACATTCCAAAATGTCAAGAGAAGTCTTCAGATGCCACGCTGTGCCTTTATGCAATGGAATGCCAAGGTGTGCACCAGCTGGAGGAAGCTAAGAACAGATTCTGAGAAAAAACACTTTGCTGCCTATGAGCAAACCTCTGATTTGAAGTCCTTGCAGAGGGGTTGACTCTCCTTAGCCTCAAACCCAGCCTTAGTCTAACCCTGACCACGAGCCCTCTGTTTTAGCCCATGACTGCTACCTGCATCTTAACCCCCAAAAATTAGAACAACAATTAAATAAATACCCCCCAAAAAGTCAAAATGAACTAATGGATAAAAATTCTACGAGTTAGGTCTACGTTTGTTCAAAACACTTGGTAAATCTTCATTTATTCAATTAAATAATTCAGCTCAACAAGTTTTCATTGAATGTATATGATACCCAAGGTAAAAAGGTTTGTAGTAATAGAAAAAATAAGCTCTAGCTACTACAGACTATATACGAGGCAATTGAAAAATGGCTCTGCTGACTGAAAGTGAAGTTAAATTTTATGGGTTAAATCACTCTGTATGTTGTAGGTTGCCAAGACCCTGCAATAGGTGGTTCCAGCTTTCAGGGAGTATATACATAAATATACAACTGTGGGCCTCTATTTTTCCCCAAGAGGGACACATGCGTAGTCTGTCTTCTATACTAAGCAAGTGTTCAGTATTGGTTTTCAAAGCATGTTACCAATGACTCAGCTTCACCTAGGAAAGGCTGTGCATCGAACACTGGTCTTTTCAAATGTTCCCATTCACATAGTCATGAGTCACTGTTAAGTACTTTTCAAGCAAGAAGAAGCTGCACACATACTCCCTCACTTCTAACACAAGCTGTTATCTCTCAGGCTAAGTGCTGCAACCTACAACCTATGAGGCAAAAAATAACAATTCTGCTCTTTGAGTGCCCTTTCCCCAGCTGGTTGGGATTTCCAAGGTCATCTCACACAATTTGGACCTGAAGTCAGCCTGTTGGCTGCACAGGAGGTTTGGGGTAGACAGAATATGAATGGAAGCTGGCGTGCCTCGGAGATCTCTGTTGAAGTCGTGAAGTCTTCGAATCTCGCCCTCCAGTTTGTTTCTCATGGCCTTGTCCAGTGACTCTCGCTTGGTGGTAGACTTGACAAGACTCTCATAGGCTTCCGAAATCCTCTGAAGTTCCTTTTCAAACTAAAAGAAAGAAGTGGCATGAAAGTGGGACTCTGACATTCACAATGGTGCCTTAGTTACACTGACTCTTTGACATTCCAAGTGTGAAGGTTGTATCTTCAATGCGGCCTTTTCTGCATCTCAAATTTCATGTCTACCAAATCATGTAGTTCATTTCACCCACACCCGTCTGCCCTCATTGGCCGTCTGCCCTCTAAGGGCTACATTAGGATCCTGTAAATAGCAGACTCACAAGTCTGATTGGACCATCTGATGTCACTTTGGAAAAATCCTTCTGTACCAATATCAGAATGCGGTGAATTTAAGCATAACTTAAGCCCCTTATGTTTTGTATGGCAATTTATAACTATTATTATTCAAAGTTAACATAAGGGAAAATATTAAAATACAAAACTAAAGGACCACACCTGGAACCCAAATTTCCAGACTCCAAGGACACTGCTCTTCCAGAGAACTTCCTACCCATCCCTAAAGGAACATAAAGCCCACCCGAGGAGACGCTCTTTTACTTAGCATTTTTACTCCTTTATCTATGAAACTATCTATATAAAGGACTAATGGGCTTAAATCTAATTATAAACAAAGGTACCACAAAAACCTCTTCATATGAAGGAATTGAAAGATATGAGATTCAACCCATTTTGTTGTTCTTTTTTTGTATTTCACTAAATCAAGAGCTGTAACTGGGAGAAAGTTTAATCTATGGCACATATAAATCTGTAATAAGTAGCTGTAACTAATAACAGGAGTCTGACGGAGTGTGTTGTTGAAGTAGCTATTCATAAATCCCAGTTTAGTGTTGTGCAACATAAATAAGTGCAGGAAGAAGAAGAGTGCCTGCAAACATGGAACCTTCATGAACTGTCAAGTCAGAATCAGAGGAAAGGAGGGCAAGCTTGAGAGCACCAGTGCCCCTCACTGGGCACCAAGAGACCTGCACCATGTATTGGTCTCCACAGGACAGCTGTCACCATGAGCCAGGCACCCCAACTGCCCCGATCAAAAGTCTTGCTGAGGCTCCTATAAATAAAACATATCCCAACAGGTGTCTATTGTACACTTACTATGTGTCTGGGTGCCAAGGATACAGAAATAAGTAAGAGAATTTCTGGTCTTCAGGAACTCAATGTCTAGAGTTGGCCTGCGCCCAGACACATGCACTTCTATGACGCAATGTGATAAGGGGTGTGGTGGTGTAATGCCCTGAGAGCTGAGAGATAAAGTCATTTTACAGGAGTGAGAGGGGTTTCTTTAGACAAGATTGCAGAGAAAACGCCACTGAAAATGAGTCTTGAAGGATGAACAGGAATTTGCCAAGCAGAAACGAAAAGGCCAAAGGGCTCTGGCATCCTAGGCAGGAGACAGGACATGAGCCAAGGCTGAGCCATGAAAGAAAGTGCACGTCTCTGACATGACAGGTAGTCCAGGGGATGAGAGCAGGGGGCAAGAGGCAGGACTTAATGGGCAAGGGGGGATTATGGGGAGGACTCACCACCACATGAGCAGAAGGGCAGCATTATCTTACCTGAGGTTTTGTAGAGACACACTACGGATGGGGCTGGAGAGTGCGCATGGGGAGACAAGGCAGGAGAAAAGAAGTCCAAGCAAGACGCTAATGTAAATAGTTCAATGACCGATGACAAAGAGTAGACTAGGACAACTAAGAGGACAAATTCCAAAGACCCTGGGGAGTAGAATCAACAGGGCTGAGGGACTGGTCTGAACAGGAAGGGAGAAAGAAATCAAAGACAACACAGACATTCATAGCTTAGAAGATGGAACAGTAAGACTTTAACCAAGACCAATGATTATAAGAGAAATAGGTTTAGCAAAGAAAGAAAACCTGTTCAGTGTTGGAGATACTATGTCTGGGAGCCAGCGGAACGTCTTGGCGAGGATTTCCTGTTAGCAGGTGGAGATACAGGTCGGAAAGTCAGGAAAGCAATTGTGTCATTATGGACAGATGATAGATGAAGCCATACAGTGGAGACCACTTAGGGAGAGCAATAGGAGAAGAGAGGGCCACCAACGGGGAGCACCAACACTGTGGGGGGAGTGACGGCAGAAGAACCAGTGGGAAAGACTGAAGCCAGTGGTGCCATGAGCCAGCAGCCAAAACTTAAAGAAGGAGAGAGAATGTGGTCCGTGTCCCCAGAGGCAAGGCACATCTGAGGAGAGGTCAGTGAAAGGCTGGGGAGTTTCAGGGCAGCTTCTTAGTGGCAGCCAACCAGGGCAGAGCCGAGAACACCAAGGCTCCAGTGGGTACCATGCTGTTTTCTCCAAGGCCTCCTAATACCAGAGTTGGTTCTTCCATGGTCCCTTCATTTCAACAAGGTCCTTCTGTTTCTTCAAAAGAGATTACAAACCATCACTAATGCAGCACAGCATGTCCTGAATCCTGCTCATAGTTCTACCATAAATTATGTTCTTTCCTTTTAATTTATTGTTTTCAAAAGAGATGGCTCCAAAACATACCACCACTGCTATGCTAATTTCATCTATACAAGGTGGCCTTAATTTTGGACAGATGGGCAGGCCGCAGGGATAGTACCTGTCACGACCAAAGGGCATCACCTAGTCGTTACGGAAGCGGAGAGGACCATAAAACCTGAGGCACCTGCCAATGCTCCAAGCCCAGGACAACTAGGAAGCCTTCCTCAGCTCGCCACCCGCTGAACGTTCATCTGTTGTATTCATCTGACTGGAATGCGGATGTGCATACACATTTTGTGGCTCTGACTTGATTGTCAGTTCCTTAAGGGCAGGAATAGTCCTTACAGCCCTAGAACTGTACCCTGCCAGTAACAAAAATACTGACTGATTAATTCATCTTTAAATTTATGCCTCCTAAAAACAGTCTTGGGCACTGAGAAATGATGCCTGACCTTGGATTCTTTCCTTTCACTAAAAGAACTTCCCTCTGCACACTAGGAAAGGAAGCCACATGATCCCTCTGACAGCATAGTTTACAATCTCAAATACTAAACAATCAAGAACTGGGATATGCCCGGCCGGGTGTGGCTCAGCGGTTGAGCGTCGACCTAGGATCCAAGTGATCGGGGTTCGATTTCTGGTCAGGGCACATGCCCAGGTTGCGGGCTCAATCCCCAATAAGGGGCCTGCAGGAGGCAGCCGATCAATGACTCTCATCATTGATGTCTCTATCTCCCTCTCTCTGAAATCAATAAAGATATATTTAAAAAATTTTTTTAAGAACTGGGATATGGTTATGTGCTTGTAGCTACCAAAAGAGAAAGAGCAAGAGTCTTAGTTCAGGATAAGGTACTTCCTGTGAGAAATGACAGCTGTCACAATGGAGACAGATTAGTCTCCTTTACCATGGTCATACAGGACAGAACAATGACTAAATGTACAAAGTTAAAAAGATGCAGATTTTGCTTCAACATAAGAATTTCCCAACTACATTTTCCAGAAGTGTGTTATGCCCAGGAGTGAGCTTCTTATCCCTGGAAGCATTCAAGTAAAAAATGAATGGCCTCCTTTCAGGGACATGAAGGAGGATTCCTAAGGGGTGGGAAACTGGACTAAAATCGTTTTCAGAATTTTAAGTCCAAAGCTCTGTGATTTCTAATTGCACCCTCCTTCAGAACAAGAACCACACCCTCTTCTTCAAATCCCTCATGTCCAGAGCATCTTAACTCCTCCCTGACGTTTGTTAAAGATGAAGAGAAGGCTGGACAGACTGGCTTTGATATAACAACCAACTGGGCCAGTTCAGAGTCTGAGTGTGATCTTGTGAAGAGAATACTAGGTTTGCCTTCCCGACGCCCATACTCCCTTCCTGCCCAGATGTCCAGCCCACTTAATAGCCCACAGTCTGGTCCTGCTGGAATTGCTGACCATTAATTATGTCTCAGGGAAACGGGGAGGAAAGAGAAGCAAAGCTCTTAGGTCAGGTCATTAAAAGCCCTTGAACTCACAGAGAAGCACTCACACTGTCCCAGAAACAGAACTATGAGCAGAGTGGAAAGCCTGCCGCCATGAAGCAAATAGGCAGAGAAGGGCCCCGAGAAGATCTCAGCCACTCCAAGCTCTGGACAGAGGCTTTTTTCCTGAGCACCTTCCTATGCGCGGCTCAGGGACCCACAGGACCCAAGACAGGCCTGCTATCCAAGTCACAGACTCCGCTGTCAAAGCCACTGTCGTGCTGACAAGAGTGTCTTCATTAAGGCAGGCCTGGGGTAACCGTAAATGCCTTCACATGCCTTCAAGCCCTTACCCTCCAAAGGTCCATCTGCGCCCTGATGGCTTCTGAGGCCACCCACTAAATAGCCCACAGTCTGGTCCTGCTGGAAGTGCCGACCATTAATTATGTTTCAGGGAAACGAGGAGGAAAGAGAAGCAGATGAGTGACCAAAAGGAAATACTGAAAAACACCCTTTCTTTCTGAGGGTCCACGACCCTCATTCCAACACTAACAGAAATAATCACCACCTCGTGCCTCTGGAACCAGGGTCTGCCCGCCTCGGCTGTGCTCTGGCAGTCTCCGGGCTCAGCCCTTCTTTCCTGCCTTGTTCCTGGCACAGCGTGCACAGGCTAAGCCCTGCAATTAAACATTCTTCTATTTTCGGTTCTGCCCTTACAATGAAGCCCTCTGAGTGCTCCCAGTGCGCGAGGATCCCAGCCCGGATATTATTGCTGGCACAGGGCAGCCACTTCCTACGACACAGTAGAATGGCTCCACCCGAAGTGGGGGTCCTTGTCACTGAGAAGCAAAGTCAACCTCATCAACAGCCCTCTCCCAAGACCTGAGGTGTAAGCAGCAGCGGAGAGACAACTGGGAAGGGAGGCTGAGCCGAGGGGAGGCCTGGACAACCTCAGGCACACGAGCCTGCTAAGTCACAGAGTTCGTGCAGCTCCTCCATCCTGTGGTCCTAGTTATTGAGAGTAGCTACAGAGCTAGTGATGGGTACAGCAAGGATCTGTCAAAATCTGAGTTTTTAAACTGACGATTCCAGTTTGACAATTGGCAGATCAATGAACTGTATTATCTGCAGAGGCATTTATTATTCAAGGGACTGAAGGGGCTTTGGGTTCCAGAAAGCAAATAGCTTTTGATTTTTCTTTTTCAGAAGTCATCAAAATCCTTTTGGCCACAAAGTTTAAGAATCATCCCCTGTGCAGGGAAACCGAGTCACTGGGAAATGGATTTTCTTTTTCAAAATAGAAATGTGGGCCCTGGCCAGGTAGCTCAGTTGGTTAGAACGTCATCCCAATACACTAAGGTTGCAGGTTCGATCTTCGATCAGGGCACATACAAGAATCAATCAATGAATGCATAAATAAGTGGAACAAAAATTGGTGTTTCTCTCCCCCCACACCTCTAAAAAGTCAATAATAATAATAATAATAATAATAATAATAGAAATGTGCATCAAGAAAAAAATGTTACAGGTCAATAAAATACATATTAATAAACAAATCAACAAAGAGTAACAAAACTTCCCAGTCTCTGCCCCCTCCATGTAACTGTTCAAAAATACCCATGTGAAAAGATTCAGAATCTAACTGCCCTCAGGTGGGTCCACATAACTCCTGGCTGTGTCTGCCACAGAGGAAAAGGAAAAGAAAGGACTGCTTATTTCCCAAAAGTGCTGAGTTGGTCCTTTCCAATTTTTAGACCATACCTGGAAAGAAGCTGCCCTGGGAGGTGTCAGAGGCAAGCGTGGGCCTGAGCAGTGACTTACCGCCAAGGCCAGGAGACGGCAGGCTTGTTTCCCACCTCCTAAGGGTCTGACTGGGGTGGGAGTGAGGCAGCACTCTTTAGGCAGCCCGTTTTTTTCTGGCTCTCATTTTCCCCCCTCCAATAGAGGCAGCCAGAGCTCTCTCAGCCAAGCCTGGTCTTGACTCCAGGGAGCTCCAGACAATTTTAGTGGAAGCTCGGCACAAACATGCTGGGGCACAGTCTGTCTGTGCACATATTTATCATCAAACCCACTGCTCCCAGCTGTTTACCACCAGCCCTCAAAAAATCAGAGGAGCTGACTGCTCGGAAACCATGACCAGCAAAAAGAGCAGGCTTCCCCTGAGAGATCAATGCCAAACAATGAACACTAAATGACCAATCAGGAGCAGTAACTGTCACACAGAACCCAATGACAATGCTCCCGGGGTCAGGCGGGGTTTGTATTCCACCCTTTCTCTTTACAAAAGCCCTGACTGCCCAGGATCTTATAAGATGTCTTCTACCACATGTGCCTCTTTGCCTGCAGAAAGGAAACTCAAGTGCCCCGTGGTTCTGCTGCCTTAAAACACCTATTACCTTTGCCCCCTCACGTCTTCTGTTCTACCTGCAGCATTTCAAGTGCTGACATGTGGATCATCATGAAATCACTGCCCACAACAGTTCACTCTTGCTGGATGTTTTTCTACTGACTTTGGCTCTCAGCATAAGCCCTAAGAAGGAAGGCTGCTGTATATTCTAATATTCCCAAAATAACTGCCTGGGCTGGAATTACACAGCATCTTCCCACCTGACAAGTCACAAGTATAAAGACAGGGCGCAGTAACATGTACTCTACCCTCAGTGTTAAGTCAAGGCTACTTTTGCAGAGCCCAGCTAATGAAACTAGCATGGCGATAACAGGATCCTGTCTGAGAGCCCCAGGCTTAAAGGAAAGCCCATCTCTCTCAACTCATTCCCTGTGCTACTCTGAGTGTTCCCTCTTCCACACTGTTCACCTGGGGAAACACTCCTTAACCTCTGAGTCTCAGATCAGGGCCACCTCCGCTGTACCCACTGTAGACCCCTGAAGTTCCATCGCAGGTAGTAGCTTAGGTAACTTTCCCCTTTTGGACTGTAAGCTCCCCCAGGCAGGCACCGCCTCGTATTTATTTTTTGTCTCCTTCAAGCCTTGCACAGCACCTGGCACAAAAAGGGATCTACTTAACAGCTGGCAAGTGAGTCAGCAAATCAACCACCCATGAGCAGGTAAAGAATTCTGTCCCTTTTGGAGAACCTCGGGAAGTCACGTACCTTGTGGAGCTTGTCAGCATTGTCATAGTAACCCTGAAGTTCCTGGTGAAGCACCCGGTTCTCCTCCGTTAGTATCTCCACCATCTGCTGGGCTCGCTCCACAATCGCAAATGCATCTGGACCAAGCTGCTGGCTGGGGGAGGCTGCCGGCGGGGGCTGCGGCGCAGCCAGGGTCACGGGCAGTGGCAGCGGCAAGGGGGTGGAGTGCAGGGGCCCGCTGGCCGAGGAGTTCTGGGAGGACATCGGGCTGTGCTGCTGCACTGTGGACGGGAAAGGAAGCTGGCATGGGCGGCTGCAAGGGAACAGAAGACCAGGAATCAGACCCCAGGGAAACGGCAGAGGAGGAAGGCAGGCCCCGCAATAGACGCACTAGGGACGGCTTCCACGGCCAGAGGTCATCAGTGAACTTTCCAGTGCTGGGCCGAGTACAGCGGGTTCAGTCCGTCATTCCACAGATACTTACTGTCTCCCTCTGCATCAGCACTGTTCTGGTTACTGGGGGTACAGTGAACGAGAGAGAGAAGGCCCCTGCTCTCATGAAGCTTACATTCTCAGGAGAGAGACAGGCAAGCCATCAAACAATAGACAAACAAAGCAGGGTATTGAAAAGTAATGAGTACTCCCCCAAAACAAAGCAGAGTGATGTGGCGGGGAATGACTTGAGTGGCTGGTTCACACTGACAGGCCAGGGAAGGAGTTTGTGGCTGGGGTGGGAGGGAGTAGAGAAGTGGGGAAAGGAGTATTCCGGGAAGGGGAATCGGCCAGTGCTCGGGCCTAGGGCAGGACTTAGCATGGGCAAGATCAAGTAGAAGAAAGCAGCCTGATACAAGCATGGCCAGCAAAAGCAGTAGGAGCTAAGACCAGAGGGATGGGCAAGGGCCTTTGCAAGACAAGGCCAGCCCTTCCTTTAGGGTGTAAACAGAGGTCAGTGGAGAAGCCACCTTTACTTTGACTTTTGTACACATGGTACATACAGTGAGTGGCAGGGATGGACAAAAGGTCACCTAGGTGTGATCTAGGTGGGAACTGATGAAGGCGCACAGGGTAGTAGCAGAAGAGAAAGGATGGATGGATTTGGGCTATGTTTTATATTCATTGTGGATGGGGGGAAAGAAAGTGAGGGGGGAAAAATTACTCCTAGATTTTGGGCTCCACATAAATGGATAGGGGTACCATTTAATGAAATGGGGGAGTCCCAGGGAAGGAACTAATTTTTTGTGTTTTGATTTGCTGGGGTGAGGAGGTCTGGAAATCAAAAGTCTAATTTTAGCCATGTGAAAAAGAACACATAGAGGTGTCCCTTGACTGTTCAAATTCTGGGTCTAGCTCCTACATTTAAATCATGAATCTCCACCTCCTAACAACCCCCTCCTCGCTCCTGCTAACCTGTTCCATAAGAACCATCATATTTTCTTTCAGCCTAAGCCAAGGCCTCCTAACAACCTCTACAGGTGTAAAACAGCAAAGACAGTCTCAATATCTAGTTCCCAACCACAGCTGTCACTCTTCTGCAGGGACTTGGGGAAACTAGATTTCTTGTTGAGCCCGTCAACCTTTAGGTCTCAACCTGGGAGTCAGGGCACTAAGAATTATCAGCAACCCCCAAATCATCAACATTCTGTCTCAAAGGGTTGGGTCCTCTGGAGATGCAGCTACTTCTAATCTTGTTAACCTGTGTCACTTCCTGTTACTTGTCGCCATCCATAGCCAAAGCTATCAGGGCTACTACCCCCATTTTTCCCAGGAGGTCATCTGGTCTTCTATTTTCAAGTATACTTGCTGGAATGTTTTTGGACCCTGTCAGTCTCCGAATCTCTAATTTCATAAGCATTTCTTGTAGCCAGGATTCCTCTGAATGCTCTCTCCTGGCAGCTAAATGTCAAATCTAGAAGACAATTTGACAAGGTTGTCTAAGCCCAACCTACATGGACACACAGGCATTCATAAAGATGAGCAAAGAATAAGCCCAGCAGATCCTAACAGAGTAACTGACCCCAGGCCTTGCTTTGGTAGCGAACTAACATCAGAGACTCCACCTGAGCTCGGGAGATACTTCCCTACTAGATTTCCTCATGCTTTCAACCCAGGAGCCTTTCCCTTTCCTGTGAAAATAGCTGGGATCTAAGTTCCCCAAGGCAAGGTGAACTGTGGAGCTCAATGTAATTCTGTATTCCTTAAGTGAGCTTCACCTTCCAGCCATCCTCAGATTTCAGAAAGAAATGCTGTCAGTGGGAATACGTAAACCCTCCCTCCCCTCCCTCTCCACACTGATTACACAATGGTCTGGCCATCTCTTTAGAAGTAAAGCGTTGGTGCGTGTTAACGGATTTGGACCCCTTCCACACCGAAGCGTATGTGATATGTGTGAGCCTGCATGTACGAGGAGATCTGTGTGTATGGGGTTCAGCTCCATTCCAAGAGCAAAATGCCTCCAGGGCCATTTACAATGCCCAGCCTGCACCCCAGATTCCAGGTACGCCTATCAAGCGTGAACCCACAAAAACCACAGATATGTTACTAAGTGCATTCCTGAAGGCAGGCTGAATCCTACCGTGCATTTCTCATGGAAAGAGGTTACCTTGGCAAAAGGCAAAATAACCACAAATTACACTGCCTCGATTCGAAGGCAGACACCCATTCCCATCTCCTAAGTACTCCCTTTGCACTGCATCCAACGCAAGGGACAAACGTGGTGGTCTCCTGGGAGCTGAGGGGGCCCAGATGAGCCCACAGTCCTGTTTTTTGAAGCACCAGGGCTTCCCTCTGACCCACGCAGCTTCAGGCTGGGGCTTCTATCTTTTAACATTTATTGAACTCTGGGATTTGGGACTCACAGATGATCAATGACGGGCTTATCTTCTCAGTTATCTTTCACTGTTATATAACAAAAAGGAAGTGCTTAATGCCAGCCTAAGTCATCTGAGATGGTAACTATTTACTGGAGTGGCAATGCAGGAAAGGGTGTTTGCCAAGCTTAAGGGACACGAAAGAACAGGCTTTTCCAAAATGGGAAGTCTTCTATTAAACAGACAACAGCGGCCTCACAAATAACTCGGTTACACATTCAATAAACTCCCCATTACAGTGATGTGCAGGTAGGAGAGCAAACCTCCATTCCCTGGCCCCACCACTGAGCCAGCTTCAGGCTTAGAGTAAATGAGGGGGAAAGAGTGTTGGGGAAGAACTGGAAAATTTCACACAAGATCACACCAGTGCTATGAAGCAACCTATCTCCAGCTTCCAAAGAGAATGCTATTGATCAGCCACCATTGGGATAAGTATGTCATAGTAATGGGGACACAGAGAAAAGGGGAAAGTAGATGGAACCATCATTTATTGAGAAACTACCTGCGAACAGAATTCCATGCTATAACTGTCTATTTGTGAGCCTATTTCCTCCGTCAGATGTGAAGTCAGAGAGCTAGCTTATTCGGTATCATGTGTCTCAGTTTCCTGGGACTTTATGCCATTCAGCTCATTGTTACAGGGCTAAAGGGGTTAATATGTATAAAGCCAGGCACAAAGTAAACACTGGACAAATGCTGGCTAGTAATCACCATTACTGTAATTATCATTTGTATCCCACAGCCCCAGTGCAGAGCCTCGCACTGAGTGTGGCATTCATGAGAAGTCCAATAAAAATTTTCTGTTATGGCTAACATTTATTGGGCACTTGTTACATTCCAGCCGCTGTGGTAGGCGCTACTATATGCATCATCTCACCCTGACCTAAATAACCGCCTTACAAAACAAGTACCATTGTCTGCCTCTCTGTTTAGGTGAGAAAAACAAGGCACGGGATGGTAACTTGCAAAGTACGTGTAACGGAGATATCAGCAACATAAAGGAAATCCAAGCCCAGGCTTTCTGACGCCAGGGCCTATGCAGCTCACCGTTGCCCTGTCCTGGTGAAAGCACAGAGGGCAGGCAGCCCCCTTTGGTCGTCCGCCCCAGGCTGAGCCACCGCGTCCAGGATTCACACCCTAGCAGCAGAGGCTCCCGCTGCCTCAGGGGGAACAAGGCTAGAAACCTGCCTGAGTAGTTGTCCTCCACTGTTACTTATATTGAACGTTATTATCTTTCACAGGTTAAGGTCTTCCCTACAGAGAACATTCAACTAACATTTGTTGAGGGTCTGTATTATCTGCTGGCCACCACATTTCGTCACCTTGCTTAATCCTTACAAAACTGGGGCAGGTGGCCCTGGCCGGTGTGGCTTGGTCAGGTGGAGTGTCGTCCCGTACACCAAAAGGTGGCGGGTCCCATCCCTGGTTGGGACAAGTGTGGGAGACAACCAATCGACGTTTCTCTCTCATATCAATGTCTCTCTCTCTCTCTCTCCCTCTCTCTCTCCCCCACCCTTCTTCTCTCTAAAATCATTAAAAAAAATAAAAAATAAAACAGAGGCAGGTACCAGCAACACATCCTGCTCCTTTTCTTGGGGAACCTAATGAGCCTTGGAACACCACAGAAAGTGACCTTTTCCCACCTGCCACCGACCTATCGTTATTTAACTACATCTGAGCAGTACTCAAGAAGCCTCTTTTCCCCAAGTCCATAGTGATGTATTAAAAAGAAGAATCATAGCATTTAAAGAGCCACATCTAAGAGACAAAGTAGGGGTCATACAGGGAAGCCCAGTAGGCTGGTCCTCCACTGTCAACGACGTGGACCATGCTGCACAAAGCCCAAGCCGAGCGTGCACCCATTTCTTTCCTCTGAACTTACTGCCCTGCCTGAATCACACTCCTGACAATCTACCACCATTGGCCTTATGTCATACCTTTTGTTCTCTTGAATTTTTATTTAAATGTAATATTTAATTTTTCAAACATGTGTGTCTTTTCTCCCTATTAGTATTACTTTTTGGGGGGGGGTAGAAAATTAAGACATACTCAGTTGATGTCCATTAAATTGTCGATTGATTTAGCCCCAAGCCCAAGAGCAAGTTAGGAGACCATAAATGCTTGATGTGCTTTCAAAGAATGGCTAAACCTTCATCACTGTCTTATTAAGGAAGAGACCTCTCATACTGAGATTTCTTCGGGATTCATATAGGTAGAATCTCTAACCATGACATTGCTAATATAATAACATGGCTCTCGCCACTGCCCTTCTTCTCATGTATTTGGAGCCACAAAATGCAGCTCAAAACTAGAGTGAGGATGTCATTTAGTTTACGAAAACAAGGTCACTGTGACATCCAGTCAACAGTCCACCCGTTCCTCTCTGCACACAGGTCTTCATGCACAAGCTTATTTAAACTTATGTATTTCCATTATTCCTGTATGT